TTGTTTCTTAACCTTTTTGATATCACGGAACACCAGGCAATAATATTTTTTTCATGCGGAACYCCTCTTAAAATATCTTTAAAAAAGAAGGGTACACAAAACATGGCAATAAGCGGCAACATTCGCAATGCACTAAACTTTAGTGATTAAAATACTAAATACAGCAAAACACAATTAAATTATTTATTTAGAATTTAGATTTTAGATTATATTGAGAAGTAACATTATATTATATATTTTGATTAGATTAAATTTATATTAGATTGTAATAACAGAAAAAATAATAATACAATTATTGCATGAAACTTATAATGGGATGGTTGCGCTTGAATATGACTGCATATGTTATCAATATCTGGAGTAAGGTTTGTTAATGAAAGTCTTAGTGTCGGCGTCACATTCAATCTATTTCGATATTTAGTCTTGGTTGCAGTGACTACTGAGAATCCACTTTCACATAAGTATGTTGAAGGAAAAGGAAGTAGGACTCCCAACGCCTTTTCACTTAATACCTCATATTCGCTGTGAACTTCTATCCAAAATTTATCTAGAGATGAATTGTTTTTTAAGTTTTTCAACGTGACRTCTGAGGAAAGATCTGCCAACATATCCTCTTCATTCGTAGATAGAGTATTTGTTGAGCTATTGGCACTGAATGGATCCAAAATCCATAAGGAACCATATCTTGGGTCTTGATTTGAAGGGAAATAATCTTCAAATTTAAGAAACAACATATTCAAATGATTAACAATAATCAGTTTAAGTTGAGTAATACTGTAATCTTCATTATTCTCGTTCACCCCACTCATGAACTCTATTAAGGTGCTGAAYATTTCAAAACAGTTGTTTTCAATTCTTGTGATCCACAGCTTAAATTTTTTCTTTTGCYCTTCTATTTTACTGTAACTGTGAAACATGGTTTTCTGTGTTCCTTGAAGAGACAGGTTTAGCTCATTCAAAAGTTGAAATATGTCTRCAAGATAACATAATTTCATGTTCCAATCTATGTCTTTGAAGTACTGAACCAGGTCACAATTTTTGCTTGATAAAAATATTATTATTTCTTCTCTAAGTTCACACAGTCTTTTTAATATCCGACCTCTCGAAAGCCAGCGAACTTCCGCATGCAATAATAGCGTTCTATGTGTGGATCCCATTTCATCACACAACATTGCAAACAGTCGTGAATTAAGAGAGCTGGACTTAATAAAATTTACTGTTTTTACAGCTGTTGTTAGTACTTGATTAAACTCGGCACTCATTATTTTACTTGCTAGCATTTCTCGGTGTATCATACAACGTGTGCTTTGTATATTTGGAGCTATAATTGTTTCATTTTTGCGACTAGTCCTGCATGCCTACCAGTCATATTAGCCGCGCCATCAGTACAAATTGAGATACAGTCTGACATCTTTAAATCTGTACTTAAGAAACAATCAGACAATGCAGAAAAAATTTCTGCGCYAGTTGTATGTTTCTTCGGTTCCAAGCAGTTCAAGAATTCTTCTTTGATTTCTTTTTCATCCCAGTCCACATACCGAATATAAATAAGTAGCAGTGCTTTATCAGTAATGTCAGTAGACTCATCTAATTGAAGAGCATAGAGTTTTGACCTTTTTATTTTTCTTATAAGTTGCTGATGAACATCATCACTCATCATAGTTATGCGATTTGAAACTGTATCATTAGAAAGAGGTATTGTTTTTATTTTTTTAGCAGCTTTATCTCCAAAAGGTATAAGGTTGGCGTCGACCATGCAAGGCATAATTAAGTCTTATCCTATGGTAAAATTTTTTTTTGATTTTGCARTGCGAAGTGATTTCAAAAATGACGCTTWAAGGGCTAACTCATTTTCAGTTCCCGCATTTCGAATTAGTGTCTTCTGAGGTTTCAATTCACTCTCTTTTCTTTTAAAAAAATCGATTGACTTACTCTTATACTGCTGGTGTTTTGTTTCCAAATGTCTTAGAAGTTTTGCTGGAGCCATAGAACTATTAGTTAAAATTTCCGAGCAAATAACGCATTGAGGGCAATCATCTTTATATGTAAATCCGAATCCTAGGAATGAGGGATCGTACTTACGAATTTTCGGTTTCTTCGGTTTTGGTTCCAACGAAGATGTGACATCACTCGTTGATGGTGTTGGTTCCTCAGCAGTAGTAATAACACTAGTATTTGGATTTTTTAAAAAGAAATCAAACTTCTTTTGCTTACTCATATTTTAATAAATTGMCACACACAACTGACGAACAACGGTTAACGGACGACTACGAATGGACGAATACGTACTGAAGTACAATATTGGTAATATTATACTTCATAAAATAAAATTTTATAATAATATACGATAACATGTGGTTATAAATAATTATTCAATACTGTCATGCCATCGTCGTTGCCCTCATTAACAATATAATAATATCTCATACAATATATTGTGCACGTCTAACGGGTTTTCCCACTAGCTGCTTCTAGAATTCTTGCTTTTTTATATTTTTAATATTTTGATAAAAACACAGCACAGCACTTTCGCGGAACCCTCAAGTGATCTTCGCGGAACCCAGGTTAAGAAACACTGGTCTAGACAGTCCAGTATTATATATATAAAAAGTGGGAAAGTGAGTATTTGTCTACTGTACAGTAGGTATCTAGAAGGGAAACTATAATGAAGGAGTTAAATTTGAATTCAATAATATAAAATCAGTGTGCACAAAATACTATTATGAGCGAAAATCTGTTATGTAAGTTATTATATTTTATGATATTATTGTGATTAAAAGTGATTTATTTTACCATTAAAGGAATTCCGAATTAGTTTTAAAGTAAGTTTTTTTTTCCAAAAAATTGCGTTTGAATATGTGACTAGTGTGTTCAGTCCACGGACTAAGATAAAGCTTTATCCTTACTCCATCAACGAGTCGCTCCTATTTTTTGAATTGTATATAATTTATTATTACTTGAAAGATTAATTCCTGTACATTTTTTCCAATAACTCATTCTTATACGAGAGTCTGATAGATATACTGCAGACTGTTCAACTAATCCAAAAAGGTTTTCCGCTTCCAAACATGTTTTTGTTGAATCACAAATTACTAAATTTAAGACATGTGCCATATAATGGGTATGAGATATAAATAATATTACTATATTTTTCATTGAGATACCCATTAACTTAAACATATTTTCTAACAAATTGTATAATGCAATTCCACTGGAATCATGACAAACAAATAAAGGAAGTAACCTTTCTTTTATAGAATCATTTACTGAGTAGCGAACACAAATTGCAAGTTGGTCCATGACACTGACATCTTGTGTAAGTACTATCAACCATTATAGATAAATATTTGCATGTAAGAATTTCTTCAATGATAATTTTTTTTATTGAATGACCAATAGGTTTAATTATTTTATCATTAATAAAATGACATTAATAATACCAGTTCCAAAAAATTTCCATGGTTTTGTGTTCGGCTGACCAGTGAATAAGCACCGTCTTCTTTTCCTCTGTATGGGATCCCTTGTGTTCCAATAAATAAAACAATATCAATTAATCGTTTAAATATTTCTCTACGATTTTTAACTTCTTTTGCATGTTGAGAAAAAACATAATTACGATTTATAAGATTACCAATATCATTGTTCAGTAAAAATTAAATAAATTTACCATAATACTTAAAGTAAAAAAATAATATTTTTTGGGCAATACCTACCAAAAATTTTTTATAAGTGTAGTTAAATGGAACCGGCGCTATTTTTTTTATCTTTATATTAGGATTTGTAAATGTTATTATAATGTTATATATGACTTTGATATGTGTTAGGTAACACAATTAAAACGGAAAACGGATAAGTAACAATAATAATTATATACCAATATATCACAAAAAAAAACATATACCTAATTAACTAAATAATATTTAATATAATATAATTTTACAAAGTATAACAAAAAAGAAAATAATATTTACAAATCCTAATATAAAGATAAAAAAACATATACCTAATTAACTAAATAATATTTAATATAATATAATTTTACAAAGTATAACAAAAAAGAAAATAATATTTTAAATCCATTTATTTAAAAATTATTATAATATTAGTTTCGGAGAAATTAGTGGTGGCTTGCGGGTTTTATTACTTTTTAAGTGATGAGAAACGTTTAGTAAATGCCAATAGATTAAAGACAGTAGGTATGTATTTTTCCAAGGTAATTGTATAGATATAAAGTAAGTATTAGTTTATGTATGTAGGGCCGAATTTAGGGTTGTGGGGGCCCCAGAATCCACATAAGATTGAAATATAAGAATTTTTAGTTGATTTACATACTTTAAAACTTAACTCTAAAATTATATTACTGATGGGTAATTTATTATTAAATCAATTTTACTTATTGAACATAGTTAATACAGATTTATAAAATGTTAATACAATTAATAATTAAATAGTAAATACAAGTAACCTTTATAGTTATATCTTTTATTTTTTAATTTAGTACATCAAAACCATTGAATTACATTAGTAACTTGTGTTGTYATTAATGTAATTATTTCATCACAATATGTTGTAGAAGAAAGGTAAGATGTATGACCACTGCCCGGATTTCCATGTTGAACTATATGATTGCTTAGAAAAGGGTCAAATTCAGATATTAATTCTAAWCACATCATAAAATTACCATTATTTTGACTTCCAAATTTTTCYACGGAACCTCTAAATGGAAGACCACGACTTCCCAGTTTTTTTATGACAGCAATAACCCGTTTCAACACATTTTTCTAATAAACTATTTCATTATTTATTTGAATACAGAGATCACTATCTATTCTCCCAATATTATTGCTCCTACGTAAAAATACTATTTGACAGTTAGTATGTTCCTTAGAGACTTCATGTTGTTTTTACAATCTTAATAACGTTTCTCCAGTCCATTAAACCTTCTGTAGCAAGTTTAGTAGAACGTCCAAACATTCGACATGGGATACAAAATAATGCATTTTTTCTACGAGTCACGAGAATAAATTAAAAATTTTCTAAGCTGTTGATCCCATTTAAAAGTTTCCAATAAAATACACTTTTTTTTAAGTATCGCTTTTTATTCCCAAACTCTAATTTTGTTGATAATAAATCATATAGTCAATATTTTGTTTTATTTCTTTTAGTAATAAGCAGTAGTATGAAATAGCCGATTCTGAAACCTGAGCCCTGAGCCCTGAGCCAACTGAGCCAACTGAGCTAACTGAGCCAACTGAGCCTCATCCCGC